TCAGGTCTGTTATTCCCATTTCCCAGAGTAAGATTTATTAAATATTGCCAGAGTCAAATCTATCACTCAACATGTCAAAGAATGATTGAGCGCCACGAAAGTTTTGTTTCTCATGGAAAAACTCACAGGAAGCTCGGACATTTCATATCTAAGTAGAAATAATGCATTCTATACTTTATAAGGGATGTTTAATTTGAAAGTGCAAAATGTGTGTTAATGGCCCTGCAAGAAGTGGTTCAGAGCAAACTTTATTGTAGCACGTGTCGATTCTGCTTGCATTCCAACTATAAACTTATCTTGCAAATCTTTTATAACTATGGGTACTTTCTAGCTGTTTATATATCTGAAATTTGTTTCAAATTCGGTTTGTTCTTATTGGAAAAAAATATCACTGACTCATTTTGTTGTATGAATGTAAATAACTTGACTTTGAGCGTTCTTTCTGACGAATCGTGAATCGTCACCCGCCTTCACAGCTGCCGTTTCTAAGTCTAATAAACATGGTATTATCGACGATTTATAATCACTAATTGTAATTGAAGCCATTAGCAAAGATATAACCAATCACTAATCGAAGCCACAACTCCGACAGGTGTTGTCGAGTTCCTGACCAGCGGCCAAGTATCAATGGACCATCAGGACTTCAAAGGCCACGGCTACAAGAACAGCTTGCATAAACTCACCGTCATGAACAAGAACCACTCACATTCGTCCAATAGCAACCTCTACACGCATAGCTTCAGATTGCGACCAGCGTACACGAGCGATATCATGCCCTATACCAACTACACGTATGACTTCAAGGGAATTATTGATTACATCTTCCACAGCAGCGACACTATGATCACTCTCGCCGCGCTCGGTCCTATTTCCCTCGACTGGTTCAAGGACAACAAGGTTGTGGGCTGCCCGCACCCACATGTGCCCTCTGGTGAGTTGGGTCCTGCTCAGTCATTTCCTTTCTGCTCAGTCAGTTCCTTTCTGCTCAGTCACTTCCTTTCTGCTCAGTCACTTCCTTTCTGCTCAGTCACTTCCTTTCTGCTCAGTCACTTCCTTTCTGCTCAGTCAGCTCCTTTCTGCTCAGTCACT